TCCTGTGTGAAAGGCTTCTCTGTGTGGACTGAACCCAAAAAGTCTCCTATTCCTTCCAAAACCCCAAAAAGGGGGCAGGACCAGGGAACCTAACTATAATTGACAGGTGGCTTGCCCTATGATTGCAGCCAAAAGAAGCCACCTATCTGCAGAGTCCCTGAAACTTAGGACTACAACAAACATTCAATGCAAAGCAAACAAAATTGGAGCTCCTGGTACAGCTGTACCTGCTCACGAAGAAAGGAAAAAGAGAAAAAAGAAATAATAATAATAATAATAATAATAATAATAATAATAACAAAAAGGAAAAAAACCTACCAAATACAGGTAGGTGATTGAAAAACCTCCACCCATCTCTAACATGGCATTCAATATTATATTTAAACAGCTCTTTTAGTTTATTCTTTTTCCAATTTGCAAGCATCAGTATTATTTATCTCCTTTTTTCTTCTTCTGTTCTTCCTTTCTTTTGCTTCTTCCTTTGTCTTCTTTTTGCCTTTTCTATCTTCTTCTCCTCTCTTTCTTCTCCTCTCTTCCTTCTCTCTTCACCCCTCTTCTCTTTTCTTCTTTTCTCTCACTCCCAAAATTATTTCTTACTCTAGAGGAGGCACTCAACTGCAGGCAGGCACACGCGCTCGGCCTGCGCACCACACATTCTCTCTTTCCAAGGCAAGGAGGCATGGAATGTCACATGCTCATGAAAGCAGAGGGGGAGCTGGCAATCGGCTCTCAGCTGCTTTCGTCTCGAGCAGGTTTTCGTGCCAGGGCCCCCCTTCCTGTTATGTGCTGGAGGTACTGAAGGAAACAGGATCCATGCACAACCCTACTCTCCACATTTGCTGAAATTAAGGACACAGAACCACAATGAGAGTGGAAATATGCTCTCTCTCTCCCTCTCCCCCTCCTCTCTCTCATATCTATATAATGAAAGAACATCTCTCTAGGGATTTCTTGGTTCTCCTGCACAATTCCATAGCCAACTTCCTGCTGGAAGCTGACTATACGACCACATTGGAAGAGTGCTTGGATAGCGTTTTTCTGCCTGGCACAACGGGGTTAGACGGCATGTCTCTTCTGGTCTATATGATTCTGTGATAAAAACGTTGAAGAGTCCTCCTTTCAGTTTGAAGTGCAGCCATTTATTCCTCCAGCAAGGTTTTCCAACCAATTACAGATCCTTCTGACAGGGTTCCTGTCTATCCCGCATTTAGCGAATTGATTAAAGGTTAGCCATCCTGCAAATAATATCAACTGAACAGACATGGACTATTTTAGAAACTTCACAGGAAACGTAAGTTAAAAATTGACAGGGCCTTTCAAGTGGAACACAATGGTGTGCCTGCAGATATCTTCTGCCAATAATAATAATACCTGTTTGAGCAAAAAAGAACAGGTTTCATGTATGCAGATTGGAAAATGCATGTGCTTGTGGTTGGTTATTTTGTGTAATACCCATAGTTGTTGCCACCTAATTGGTGGTTAGCTGTTGCTGTGTAGGATTTTTAATAATGCTATACAGTATATAAGCTTTGCTTTGCTGCCTGCTTGATGGTTGGCGTTTTGACTTGCCAAGACCTTGCTCAATGCCAAAACTTTTAAAAATGAACATTTTTTTTTCAGTTTAGCATTTACTCCATTTATCAAAGTGAAGTCCAAAAAGAGTTGTTTAACCATGTTCCCAGTCCTACCAATTTGTGCATTTGCCAGATAGCTCCATTATATATACACTCAGATAGCAAGTTCAGTTGCAGGTCCCTGCCATGGATGCTAAGGAGACTATAGTGGCCAAGGACCAAATCCCCTCCTGCATCCTCCTGCATTTGTGTATATTATTTATGTGCCTTCAGGTTGCCCATCAATTTATGGCTACCCCATTTATTTCATGGGATTTTCTTGGGCAAGGAATACTCAGTGTTCTGTCATGCGCTGGGCTCGAAATGAATTGCTTTTAAAACAGGACATGTAACTTTAGCCCAGCGGGAAGCCAGGGCCCCCAAAAAGAAATTCGTAAGGATTTTCACCATAAACAGTCTCTAGAGGGCTTGTAAAATATAACAAAGTCTTTTATTGGTGAACAATCAACAGAACCTCTTTTGTCTTCAAAAGGTTAAACAAATGCTTCCAGGCTTTTGTGCAACTGGTGGCTTCTGCTATTTTACTCTAAAAGAAAATCCCTTTCCAAACTTCTCCCAGGCTAACTGTGAACCTAAACCTAACTGATGTGGATCCACTACCGGGCTGAACTGCATCTCAAAACCGAGTGGACCTACCAGTAGGCCTGTAGTCACTTAGCTGGAGTTCTTGATGTTTAAAGCTGTTATTCCCTCCGAAATTCCTCAGGGCTGTAAGGCTGTTTCCCTGGAACCTTTGGGAATCTTTAGATGCTCTTAAGACTGTTCTCCCCCGGGAAGTCTTAAGGGTTGAAGCCTTTGTACAGGAAAAAGTATGTACACGTCCTGTACATTGATTTCCTTGCTGAGACTGACTGAAAATGGCTCCCTTCCCTTCACAATTGTCCTGAACAGGGGGCGGAACCAAACTTAACGATGATGGACAGGGGGCCTGCCCTATAACTGCAAACTTTAACAGGAAGCCACCCTTCTGCAGAATCCCAAGCCTTGGGCTGCAAGCAAACACTTAATACAAGGCAAATAAAGTGGGAGCTTCTGGTACAGCTGTACCAGCACAGAGATGGTTTTGCCAATTTTTTCCTGTGAAATATATCCAATGGCATCAAGAATAATAGAGTCCTAGAGTTGGAAGAGACCTCAACACCCTGCCAAAAAGCAGGAAAATCACATTCAAAGCACCCCCGACAGATGGTCATCCAGCCTCTGATTAAAAACCTCCAAAGAAGGAGCCTCCACCACACCTGATATTAATTGATGGATACAAGTACTAACCAGGACCGACCCTGCTTAGTTTCCAAGTTCAGGTGAGATCTGGTGTCTCAAACTGTGCTCCTCCAAATGTTTTGGACTTCCGATCCCACATTTCCTAACATGGCTAGGATTTCTGGGAGCTGAAGTCCAAAACATCTGGAGGAGCAGAGTTTGAGAAACTCTGCTTTAGGGTATTTAGGCAATACTGGATCAATTGTGTGCATATGTGCCTTTACATCGCCAGTTGACTTATTTATTTATTTATTTATTTATTTATTTATTTATTTGACTTGTATACCGCCACTCCCCATTTGGCTCGGAGTGGTTTACAGCAGTAGATTAAAACAATACAACTAACTTTAAAATACAATAAAAACGAGAACAGACAGTCCCGAGTTATTCATCCATCGAAAGCTTGTCGGAAAAGAAAAGTTTTACAGGCTTTCCGAAAAGCAAGAAGCTCTCGGATGGTTCGGGTTTCAACTGGCAAGGCATTCCATAAATAAGGGGCCACAATCGAGAAGGCTCTCTGCCTAGTAGAGGACAGATGATAAGTCTGGATGTTGGGGACTTCAAGCAAATTTTGGTCTTCGGACCGAAGTAATCTCTGGGGTTGGTAGGGGGATAAGCGGGCCCTCAGGTACGCCGGCCCCAGACCATAGTAAGGCCTTAAAGGTTAGTACCAGCACCTTGAAAGTAATCCGGTACTCAATCGGAAGCCAGTGCAGCTGTTGTAGAATTGGGGTGATACGACACCTCGCCGGCACCCCGGTGAGAAGACGAGCCTCCGCATTTTGCACCAGCTTCAGTTTCGGGATCACTGACAAAGGAAGGCCAATGTAGAGGGCGTTACAGTAGTCAAGCCTCGAGATGGCTTGCCTAATGAATTTCATAGGGTTTCTTAGGCAAGGAATACTCAGAGATGGTTGTGCAATTTCCTTCCATGGAAACAGAGTCTCCATCATGTGCAATTCCTTGGCTGTCTTCCATCCAAGTACAAATCTGAACTTGTTTAGCTTCCAAGCTCCAGAGGTGGGGGGCAGCCACAGAGAAGGCACTTTCTCTCGTTCCCACCAGCTGTGCTTGGGACGGGGGTAGAACTGAGAGGAGGACCTCCTCCGATGACCGCAGTGTCCAAGTTGGTCTGTAGAGTCACCCTCCTCTGGATACATTCCAGCTTGTCAACATCTCTTAAATTGCGGCACACAGAATTGGACATAGTGTGATTCCAGGTGTGGCCTGACCAAGGCAGAATAGAGGAGTAGCATGACTTCCCAGGATTTCCCTGAACATGAGGAAGAACTTCCTGACTGTGAGAGCCGTTCAGCAGTGGAACTCTCTGCCCCGGAGTGTGGTGGAGGCTCCTTCTTTGGAAGCATTTAAACACAGGCTGGATGGCCATCTGTCAGGGGTGATTTGAATGCAATATTCCTGCTTCTTGGCAGAATGGGGTTGGACTGGGTGGCCCATGAGGTCTCTTCCAACTCTTTGATTCTATGATTCTATGATTTAGACACTAGACTCCTATTGATGGGGCCAAAATCCCATTGGCTTTTTTAGCGGCCACATGACATTGTTGGCTCATATTTAACTTGTTGTCCATGAGGACTCCAAGATCTTTTTCTATGACTTACTTTGATCTAGTCACTATACTCCTATTTATGTTTTTTTGTTTCAAACTTAAAGGCGTGGCCAGGAAAAAGGTTGCTGAATCTGTGTCGGATAGCATTTAGCACCTTGGATAGCTCCATAAAAGTTAAACTAAAAACCTAGAGTCATTGTTCCACTGATATGGAAGCACACAGCTGCTACCAGGTAGAAGTAAGCAACATAAGAGGATCTTATTGCAGTTAAACACCAGCACAGATGTATATCTGTGATCTGTCAATAAGATCCCTGGATTTGTAGAACTGAAGTTTGCATGCTCTGTTCGCACTCATGTGTGTTGCTCCTTATTTCTGCATAAAGCAGGGGGAAAGAAAGCTTTCTTTCCCAGACCGGCTGGGTCCCGGTGTCCTTCTCTTCCCCCCATGGAGAGGTGTCAAAGAGCCAGAGTGATGCTGTTCATTATTCTGCGCTTCCGTCTTTCCCCCATTGGCTCCGGAGCGCTTATGCTGAGCTGGGGCTCGGTGACAAGAGGACGAGGCGTGTCAATAAAAAGAGGGGCAGCCGAGGGACGGGTTCCAAAGGGGAAGGACCTGAGCCGCCAAGCAAAAGAGGGTCTCCTCTGAAATCCACCCCTATTGATGTCAGAAGCCTGAAAGCAGCGTACAGAGAAAGCGGAGACAAGTGGAACTTTTCAAAGGCAGCTCCGAGGGACGTCCACCTGGAGAAGAAAAGCTGGGGCATCTTTCGGACTTTGGGAGTTTTCTGTGCAGGTAAGTTCTTCAACTCTTTCCGGGCACTTGCTCTTCTTTGGGCCCTCTCCTTCCACAGCGGAGGTTTTGCCACATCGCCTCTTTGTCCCGCAGTCTTTCCTTTTTTCATGCCATTGATTTTGTGCCTTTGTCGTGCCATTGATTTCTGCCACTCCGGCGCGGCGTTTGTCATTAGCGACAAACACCATTTGTTTGGTTCCATTGGCGTGTTTCCCTTTTCAATAACCCGATAAGACGTTCAAAGTTGAAGCCAAGAGAAGGAAACAGGAGTGACAAAGGAAGCATAAAGATGATTGTACACCCACTTTCCCCCCCATTTCCTAGCAATGCCTCTGGTAAAGTATCGTTATGACACTTCTGTGCAGGCATCAGCTTCCATTCAGGGAAAATATATTAGCTAGCTGAGAGAATGCTGCCAAAGGCTACGGCCCGTCTTTATTCCAGCGCATTGCTAAGTTTGAAATGAATGAAAAAGAGAGGGAAATATCCATCCGTACAACAATCTATCTTCAGAAAAAAGTTCTTCTTTTTTTAAAATGGTTGTGACTTTACTTGGTATGCCAGACTCTTTTGTGTTTTATGTACTGTTGTACACTTTCATGGCTGGAATCACTGGGATGCTGTGAGTTTTTTGGACTGTGTGGCCATGTTCCAAGCATTCTCTCCTGACGTTTCACCTGCATCTATGGCAGGCATCCTCAGAGGTTGTGAGGTGAGACCTCACAACCTCTGAGGATGCCTGCCATAGATGCAGGTGAAACATCAGGGGAGAATGCTTCTGGAACATGGCTATCCAACCCGAAAAACTCACAACAACCCTCTTTTGTGTTTTGTTGTTACTTTCAAATTGTGAGGCAATTCTATAAAGCAACTATGTGCTGTGTGAGAGAATATGTTATTAACATAGGGGGCACCTACACTGTAGATTTAATACAGTTTGATCATTCTTTAACTGCTATGGATCATAGAATCATAGAATCATAGAATCAAAGAGTTGGAAGAGACCTCATGGGCCATCCAGTCGAACCCCCTGCCAAGAAACAGGAATATTGCATTCAAATCACCCCTGACAGATGGCCATCCAGCCTCTGTTTAAAAGCTTCCAAAGAAGGAGCCTCCACCACACTCTGGGGCAGAGAGTTCCACTGCTGAACAGCTCTCACAGTCAGGAAGTTCTTCCTCATGTTCAGATGGAATCTCCTCTCTTGTAGTTTGAAGCCATTGTTCCGCGTCCTAGTCTTCAGGGAAGCAGAAAACAAGCTTGCTCCCTCCTCCCTGTGGCTTCCTCTCACATATTTATACATGGCTATCATATCCCCTCTCAGCCTTCTCTTCTTCAGGCTAAACATGCCCAACTCCTTAAGCCGCTCCTCATAGGGCTTGTTCTCCAGACCTTTTATCATTTTAGTCGCTCTCCTCTGGACACATTCCAGCTTGTAAACATCTCTCTTGAATTGTGGTGCCCAGAGTTGGACACAATATTCCAGGTGTGGTCTAACCAAAGATCTCACAACCTCTGAGGATGCCAGCCATAGATGCAGGTGAAACATCAGGAGAGAATGCTTCTGAAACACGGACATCCAGCTCGAAAAACTCACACCAACCCTCTTTTGTGTTTTGTTGTTACTTTCAAATTGTGAGGCAATTCTATAAAGCAACTATGTGCTGTGAGAGAGAATACGTTATTAACATAGGGGGCACCTACACTGTAGATTTAATGCAGTTTGATCATTCTTTAACTGCTATGGATCAATGATATGGAGTCATGGGAGCTGTCATTTTGCATGGACTTTAGCCTTCACTGGCAAAGACTACAAATCCTAAGATTCTGTAGCACTGAGCCATGGCGGTAACAGTGGAATCAAACTGCATTCATTCTAAAATGTAGATGAACCCATAGATATTATGTACTAGCCATCCCCTGCCACGCATTACTGTGGCCCAGTCGGTGTATATGTGTTTTGTGTGTGTATATGTGTGTGTATATATTTGTGTATATATGCGTGTTTGCATATATATGTGGTTTTGCGCATGCATTGTAATGTAATTTTTGTTTCTTGGCTTTTTAAGTCTCTTCTGCTGTGTTTTTCAGTGTTTTAATGAGTGATGGTCACTTGTTGGTCTGTTAGGTGTCTTGTGTCCAAATTTGGTGTCAATTCGTCCAGTGGTTTTTGAGTTCTGTTAATCCCACAAATGAACATTATATTTTTATTTATATAAACTAGCTGTCCCCTGCCACGCATTGCTGTGGCCCACATGGGGGTTCTGTGTGGGAGGTTTGGCCCAATTCTATCGTTGGTGGAGTTCAGACTGCGCTTTGATTTAGGTGAACTATAAATCCCAGCAAACTCCCAAATATCAAAGTCTATTTTCCCCAAGCTTCATCAGTGTTCACATTTGGGCATATTGAGTATTGTGCCAAATTTGGTCCAGATCCATCATTGTTTGAGTCCACAGTGCTCTCTGGATGTAGGTGAACTACAACTCCAAAACTCAAGGTCCATGCCCACCAAACCCTTCCAGTATTTTCTGTTGGTCATGGGAGTTCTGTGTGCCAAGTTTGGTTCAATTCCATCATTGGTGGAGTTCAGAATGCTCTTTGATTGTAGGTGAACTATACATCCCAGTAACTACACTTGCCGCACTTGCTCCCTTGCCTGGCCCGCTTTGGGTCCGGAGGCATGCCTGAAGACCCCGGCATGTGCACCAAAAGTCACCTCTTCTCCTGACTTTCTCCTCAGCCATTGGGACCAAGAGAGAGAGAGAGAGAGGTGGAGATGCCCACCTTTCCTGAAGGTAGGCGCAAAAACAAAGGAGGGAGCAGAGGTGGGAGATACCTCCAGCCGGAGGGGCTCTCTCTCTCTCTCTCTCTTGGTCCCAATGGCTGAAGAGAAAGTCAGGAGAAGAGGCGACTTTTGGTGCGCACGCTGGGGTCTTCAGACACGTCTCCAGATCCGAAGTGGGCCAGGCGCAGCGGCTCCACCCAGGCATGTGGCCGGGGGGGGGGGGGGGTCGGGGGGCTTCAGCCCCCCCCCAAATTCTCATGGTGGTTCGCGAAAAGGCCTTACTGGTGCATTATTTAAACTGTTATGTTTATTCATATCATGATCTGATCACCATACTCAATATATCCCATATGCATGGGGGTATTGGGGTAATGATACAAAAGGTTTGCTAGGCTAGACCCTCTTTCACTCAGACTCAGCCCAACCCCAAAAAACTCAGCCCCCCAAAACCCCCCCTGAAAAAAATTAGCCCCGCCTCCGGACCTGAAGCGGGCCAGGCGTGGCGACACCGCCCCTTGGCCCACCCGCAAATTGGGGAGAGGAGAGGAGGCGGGTGGAGAGCCGGGGGATCGGGAAAGGGAGCCGGTCATGGGGAAGGGATCGAATGCGGAGAACGATTGAACGGCGGCTCTGCTCGTGCACCCGGTGGCCAGGTGGAGCAGGAACGAGAGGGGCTAGACGAGGCTCAAGGGCCCGGCCCCTTTGGGAAGAGGATCGCCCGGCAGCGAGGCAAGAAAGCCGAGGCTCCCCCCGGACTGCTAGGGCTGTTGTGAGCTGAGGGGGCGCTCCTCAAGTGGCAGTCGAGGGGCATTTACAGAGGTGCCTCTGTGCCCCTGGCAAAAAAAAGTGTTCTGCGACTGCTTACTTCGCGTAATGGACGAGCCGCCCCTGTTTGCCGTTGCCATTTTCTAAGGCTGAGAGAGTGTCCAAAGTCACCCAGGTGCTTTCATGACCAAACAAGGTTTGAACCTTTTGCTTAGACCACTGCTCTACACTGCTTCTCCTTAGAGACACAATGAAATACTGTAAAATCCTCCTGGTTTCAAAATATGTTTATGAAATCATTAGAGGTTTACTTAATAGGAAGCAACACCAATCAATGGGTCTTACATCGAAACAGAGTCATGGATCAATTCTGTTAGTCCTGTTAAGACAGTGGTTTTTAACCTTCCTAATGCCTCAACCCCTTAACACAGTTCCTCATGATGTGGTGACCTCCAACCATAAAATTATTTTCCTTGCTACTTCACAACTGTAATTTTGCTACTGTTATGAATCATAATGCAAATATCTATTATACAAGACGTGTTTCCATTCAGTAAACCAAATTTGGCACAAATACACCATATGCCCAAATTTGAACACTGGTGGGGTTGGGAGCTGGGATACTGATTTTGTCATTTGGGAGTTGTAGTTGCTGGGATTTATAGTTCACCTACAATCAAAGAGCATTCTGAACTCCACCAGCAATTGAATTTAACCAATCTTAGCACACAGGACTCCCACGACCAACAGAAAATACTGGAAGGGTTTGGTGGGCATTGACCTTGAGTTCTGGAGTTTTAGTTCACCTACATCCAGAGATCACTGTGGACACAAACAACGATGGAACTGGACCAAACTTGGTACAAATACTCAGTATGCCCAAATGTGAACACTGGTAGAGTCTGGGGAAAATAGACCTTGACATTTGGGAGTTGTAGTTGCTAGGATTTATAGTTCACCTACAATCAAAGAGCATTCTGAACTCACCAACAATAGAATTGGGTCAAACTTCCCACACAGAATCCCCATGACCAACAGAAAATACCGTGTTGTCTGATGGTCTTTGGAGACCCCTCTGACACCCCCTCACAACACCCCCAGGTTGAGAAACGCTGTGTTAAGAGGAATGTTTACAAAGTCATAGAAGCAAATGTGAAGTTGATTCAGAAGATTTTAGAAGAAGATAAAGCCAGGAATGAACCCCGCTGAAGTTGAGAGAGTGTGACTTGCCCAAAGTCACCCAATGGGCTTACATGGCTAAGTGGGAATTTGAACTCCAGTCTTCAACCATGTTCCAATGTGCAAATACTAACTCTTGAAGAAAAATTAGATCTGGTTAATTCCAAAGGGATGGGTTGAGGAAGACGCAATCCTCTTTTGGAACTGATTACAGGTTTTCATGATATATTTGCAACACTATAATTATACTAATGAATAACTAATGAATAA